TGTCACATTGGTCACGATGTTTTGATAGTTGAATAACTTCAAGCCGACGCGTGCCGCTGTGCTACTCCATCACGCTTCTGTCACGATTGAGCCCCTGTCTTGTAAGCTCAAAATCTCAACGCTGCTGAAACGCGGGCAACTAAACATCAATGTGCACAATTCGTACTATGGTTAATAGGAATATGTTTCTAAAAGACACCAAAAGCCCAAAGTAAACGAGGCATATTTGATCAGGTGCTGGAGCGAATGAGTTTTGAGCAATGCAACTTAGAACAGTTTGTCGAGCTGTACAACACCCAGCTCTAATCTTCTACTGCTGAGCTTCGACTATGCTATAGACTAGGGTGTGAACAGTGTATAGAAAAATAATCGTGAGCATTGATTGGGGGATAGACGAGATATGCTCGAATAACTGCGATGTTTCACAGGGGGTACATTGTTTCACAGGGGGGGCATCGATAGTATGTCTCAAATGAAGTTGATAAACCGTGTTTGCGTCACCATGGAAGTCTCATGGAAGATTGGGCGGAGCCTCAAATTCAAAGGCAGGATCGGCGAAGGCCACAGCGGAGCTTGAAGCTGAAGTCGACTTACGCGGCGGCCGGCGATACGGGTGTAGCGTAAACCCTACTCTAATCTTGCCTCTAATGGTCCTTTTGGTCAGATCCTCGTGCTAAGTGAACTTCTCTCGGCGTCAAATCTATCCACTTACAGTTCTAATACGGGTAACTTTCTCTGAGATCATGTCAGGAGTTGAATAGTGAGCGGACGGTCGCCGTCGGTGACAGAAGCTGCTGATTCATGCCGGCTCACATCCGCCGACCCGGGAGGTTATCCGGGTTTATCCAGCAATTTATCCCAACCGCGCCCTATATTCTCCATGCGAGGCATGTCTTGCTCGTATAAGAAGTTCTGTGCCCTCTCCCATGCCATAACACCATTGCCCCATCGTCTCGTTATACACCATGGTCATGCCGAAGATTCACCCTTCTCTGCCCCAGACTCAAGCGCTTAACTCAGACACCTTTTCCTTGCCACCTTTGGATTCGTCGCTCAACTTTGCGGAGGTGATGGAGTGGACCGCCACTCACAGCCCTACTCATCCGTTATTCAAGTATCCGCTTGTAGATGGAGGTGTTCGAACGATCTGCTGGGCAGAAGCGTACAAAGCAGTCCTTGCTGGTTGCAAGATCCTCAGGCAACGTATCAAGGCGAGCGGAGAGGCTTCTCGTCCCGTAGTCGGAATATTATCTATCTCAGGTTTGTCACCTTTTCCGAGTCGGGGATCGTCATGTAACTTAACGACTTACCCTAAGACGTCATCCCGTATTCTATGAACCTACTGAGCTGTTTTCGCCTCAACTTCGTCCCCTTCCCTATCTCTGCTAGGAACTCTTCGGTCGCTTTAGCGCATCTTATTGAGCATGCATGCATCACGCATATTCTTTTGGGCCGCGACTCGAGCATGCACGACCTACTCCAGTCAGCACTAAGCGTTTTGCGCGAAAAACACCCTGAAAGCACGGCTCCCGAGGTCCTGCCTATGCTTCAGTTCGACGAGGTTTACTCTCCTTCAACAGAGACGGTGCAGCTTCCAGAAGTCGCTCCTTTCGTGAGCGCCGGCCCTGACGCTAAAGCGATCATCATACACTCGTCCGGTTCCACAGCATTTCCCAAACCTATTGCTTGGCCTAATCGTTGTTTCGACAAGTTTCAGTACACTTCCTTCTTTGGCGGGCATGATCTCACGGGCTTAGTCCTCTCTCTTCATACTGTCCCCATGTACCACATGATGGGCATATATCCGCTCTACTGTGCGGTATGTGCTGCCCGGTCTTTGCGTGAGAGGTACTCATCCTTCGTTAAAAGGCAGCGTGTGGTCTCGTAGTCAGCGCGTTTCAGCCAACCCACCCAGTCATACTCCCGACTTCTGACAACTTGTACACTGCGGCAAAATCTACGCAGAGTGACATAATCTTCTGCGTACCTTCGATCTTAGAGGCAAGTCCCCACCTTTTTCACGCGCGGTATTGCTGAAGACATTTTCTTCAGCAATGGGCAACAAACCCGGAGTACGTTCAATGGCTTGCCTCTAGATCAGGCGCGGTGAGTAGTTCCCGTTTCCTCTGATCAAACTGTGTCTGAAAAGGAGGCTGTTAGCAATTCGGAGGAGGGCCCCTGAATAAAGAAGTGGGGGATTACTTAACGTCTCAAGGTGTCAATCTGTTCCTTGTATATGGATTGTAAGTGGTGTACGGCACGGTTGTCTTCCTGCACTCATCCCGCTTACTCAGAACGGAAACTGGCGCGGTTGCAACTGTTTTCCCAGGTATGAAACGCTCGGACTGAATGGGTCGTCAGGACTAAACTAATCTCAGAGCCGGCTGGCTATGACTGGGATTACTTCACCTTATCCAAGTCGGCCACAGTAGAATTGATCCCCTATGGTGATAAGACATATGAACCTGTTATTGTGGTCAGTATGTTCGCTGCTTTCGTCTCTGCTACTCACTTATTCCCGATTCAGCCGAGCGAGTTTAGCGTGCCTTGCGTCTTCAACACGACAGTAAATGGTGTACCCGCATATGCTACGTCCGACCTGTTGTCCCCTCACCCGACTAAGGCGGGTCTTTGGAAGGTCTTTGGCAGGACCGACGATCAGATTATGCATAGCACCGGAGAAAAGGTCAGGGTGTTCGTCGTGATCCATTACCTTCAGGACTTATGCTCACCGTTTATCAAAATCAGACTAACCCAGGACCTTTGGGTGAGCTTTATCAGTATAATTCCGACTGAAATGCTAACTGGGGAAACAGAGAGCATCTTGAACCAAGACGAAAATATCATGTCATCGGTGATGTTCGGACGTGGAAAGTTCCAAGCCGGCGTTATCATCGATCCCGTACCTAAGGCACAATTTGATCCTACCAACGAGGCCAAGTTAGCTGAGTTCCGAAACCTGATATGGTGAGTAACCCAAGCGTACGGTCGACGATTGACGACACAAGCACCTCTCATAGGCCGACAGTCGAGGCAATGAACGCGTATGCTCCCCAGCATTCGCGTCTCTTCAAGGAAGTGAGTGTATACACATGGGGTGCAGGAACTCGTACTGACGGGATGGCAGATGATTATCGTAGCTAACCCTCTCAAACCATTCACTTACACCTCCAAGAACACACCTCGGCGTGGGGCGATCATCAACTTATACTCTGACGAAATCGAGGAAGCTTATGCCGCCGTGGACAAAACTACGCAGAGCAGCATCCCACCACCGTCGGAGTGGAACTCTACCCAGACGCTGAAATTCGTGGGTCTGGTTGTTCGATCCGTACTCGGAAAAGACGTCCCCGACAATGTTGATATATTCCAGTTTGGATGTGATAGGTCAGGATCTCAGTTCAACACACTTCTCACTTCGATCAATGCTGATTTCTCATAAGTCTTCAAGCGACATGGATTCGTAACTCCATTCTACGTGCCCTTCGGGATTCCTCTTCCGTCGACACGAGGTCGATCAAGGAGAACGTGGTATACACGAACACATCCATATCTTCTCTCTCAAACTTCTTTGTGAAGTTTGCCGACGGAAATACTTCCGACGATAGTTTCAGTATACCAGAGAGAATGGCGCTGATGCAGTCTCTCGTCAGCAAGTATCTTACGAAGCATCTTCCAGTTCATCAGCCGCGTTCGCCTCCTCAGGGCAGCGGCGTTGTGTTTCTAGTCACCGGTACGACGGGACACTTTGGAAGCCACATTCTCGCTAGTCTAATCGAAGACGCAACTGTGGCACGAATCTACGCACTGAATCGCCCCAGCTCCGCTGGCCAAGCCATCGGCGCCCGGCAAGCGCAGGCGTTCAGCAGTTGGGGTCTGGACGTGACGCTTCTGAAGGCTGACAAGGTCGTACTACTAGAAGGCGATGCGCTGCATGATAGCTTCGGACTCGATGAGTTGGTCTACAACGAGGTTCGTCCTAGAGTACCACACGCCTAGGTTTTGTCGCTGACATGTATTTGTCATAGATGACGGAGAGCGTTACACATATAATTCACAACGGTATGTCCGGTCTCGTGCTTCCTTGGTATCTGTTCTAATTCTCCTGCATAGCTTGGACAGTCAACTTCAACTTAGGCGTCAACTCATTCGAAGATAACATCCGATCACTTCGACGTTTAGTTGACTTTTCCCTCGGTTCCCCGCTCGACACACCACCAAAGCTCGCATTCGTGAGCTCCATCGGAGTACTCCAAAGTAAGCCGCTGACAATAGAGTTCCCGGATCGTCTAATGCTTGGTTTACGACCAGACGCGCAAGGGACGGTGGCGGTCCCGGAGGCCCCCGTCAGCGCGGAGATCGCTGTGGGGTCGGGATATGCCGAGTCAAAGTGGGTGGCAGAAGAGATTCTGCGACGTGTGGAAGCCTATTCACCCACTTTCAACGCTCTCGTTGTTCGAGTTGGCCAACTGTGTGGCGGCACAATTACCGGAAGTTGGAGTACCACGGAATGGTTCCCAGCATTGGTCCAAAGCGTCAAGGCGACCAAGTGTATCCCAACCGACAACAAGGTACGTAGTCGAGACCTTTCAAGTTTGTCATCCGAGCCCTATCTTGACGTATCACGACACAGCCTGTTTCTTGGATACCCACCGACCTCGCCGCGTCTATACTCGTCAAACTGACGAGCTCTTCTTTCAAACCCAAAGGCAGCATCGTCCATCTCATACACCCTGATCCCGTTGCGTTTTCCATCCTCGCCGACGCGATAGCCTCTGCTCTGGACGTCCCCACTGTTGCCTACAACCACTGGTTGTCCCGGCTCCAGATTCTCAACGACGACAAAGGGAACGGTGCCTCCGCCGAGAATATCCGCGCGCTGCGGCTGCTCACGTTCTTCCAGGAGATGTCTTCTGATCGCCCAACGGGAGAAGCAATGGGCGCAGTCAGACTTGATTGCACGCAGTTGAAGGAGAGCTCGGCGCTACAGTCAGTGCAATATGAGCCGCTTGGAGCGGTGAACGCGCAGAGGTGGTTGGAATATTGGCGGAGCGTTGACTTCCTCTAGAGAGCGAGAGATACATGTATTTTATCTGTAGTGTGAGATACTGTACAATTTATAAACTGCTCTGGTAGATCGTAGGCCAAGATTTGGGTTAAACCTCTACCGCCCTACTAAGGTTCGAGGATACTAGAAACTTCCTTCACTTCCTGGAAACGATGCTGCAAGGGAACGGCTTGGGGCACCTTGACACATGTATAAGTCGTGCGAACGCATCGAGTCAAGGAATGGGAAGTGTGACGTACACTGTAGCAGCACAGCTCCACCCAATGTCCTCAATCTTCACCGTATTTCCAGCAGCATCCTTCGCTGGCTCAATCCTGAAAGATGCTAAGATATTCGCCATCGCCGCCCAGATGGACCCGCTTGCGACATGTCTCCCCGGGCAAATACGTCGCCCAAACCCGAAGGCGTAGTCAACAGTATCGTCGTTCAGGTTTCCATCTTGGTCAAAGAAACGTTCGGGTTTGAACGCCGACGGATCTGGGTAATTTTCCGGGTTTTGGGACATGGCCCTTAATGATTACTGTCAGCGCCCTCGTAGATGAGGCACGTAGTATATTAAGAGTAAATCTCACCAAACGTTGGCAATGATTATGGTACCTGTTTGGAATGGGGTTAATCATACGCGCACTCGTGGTCAGATTTCAATGACCCGCCTTTAGGGATGTAATGACCCTGAAAGATATCATCGTTTGTTGATACATGGGGCACACCTGTGACGCAGATAGAGTGTCATGAAGGGCTGGGAAATGGAGTCACAAGCACCCAGCCTACCTGGAGGCACAACTGGTCTCCATCTCAACGTCTCGCGGTATAGCGCTTCAAGGTACGGAAGCGACGGTCTGTCGGTAAAATCGGGAAGACGGTCCGTCCCAACGACTATATCGATCTCATCTTGCGCACGCTTCTGGATCTCTGGATAGAGGACCATGGCAAGTATGAATACAGATAGCGATGAAGCTGTCTAAAGAATCAGTCACTAACTGCAACTGACGAGATTGGACAACTACGTACTGTTTCCTCCCCAGCTTCCAGCTTCACAGTCAACCTCCCCGTTCAACTAAGTAAATAGCCATTTGCTCACCGAGATATAGGAAGCCACAGGCGTCTTTCACGATCGTCTCAAAGTCTTTCACTTTATCTGTGTTCCTGAATCTCTCCAGCGCATTAGCGCCGAAGCAATCGCCCGCTTCACCGGAAGCCTGGCAGTATCAGAAGCAAATGAATGACCGCTCATGGCTTGTCAAATGAGCTCACCAGCCTCTGCTCCAGCGAAGCGAAGGGCATGTCCAGCATCTCACGAATCATGTGACGAAGTTGAGCTGCATTTCGCCAGCCGCCTGGAGCCCAGCTCGGTATATACCTCACTTTTAGCGATGGGTTGAATCATATGCTTGACAAATTCAGTGTATTGCGAGGGTACTCACATACAGGGAGCAATGTAGAAAGTATTGCGCTGACAGGCACGACATTCCTGTTCATCAAGTCGATACCCTCTTCTAACGTGCGTAGCACGGCGTCATCGTCGCCGTCCAATTGATGGTCGTACACTGCCCGCAATATAACAGACGCCGTGAATCTGATACGACAGTCAGCACAAGCCACGACTGAACGCTCGGTACTAGCCTGCGTATGTGAGTATAATACGCTTCCGGGGAGCTCCGTATATTTTCTACGAGATCGACCGCGCCTTGCAGCTGGCCCGGGTAATACATTTTGACGGCATCCTGGCGGAGACCTTGGTGCAGGAGACGCCGGTGGGCGCGCCATTTGTCATCGTGAGGCAAGAACACAATCATATCGTCAAGCTGATAGCTGTCATAATGAGAGTAGCAGCCGTGGAAAGTGAGCAGTGATGTCTCAGCGGTGAAAGGCAAGGGCAGGCCTTACGATTGAAGCATCGACGACCCCCACATCCTGTCAGAGTAGTTGGCTGAGCGCTTATCCAGCAGTTCTACGGCGGTCTCGTGCGAATTCAAGACAACAATGCCTTGTCCCAGCAGCTTGCAATAGACGATGTCGCCTGCAAGCATACAAAGAAAATGCGATTCAGATCAACGGAGCCGGACAACAAAATTTGACATGGTCAAATCACCATAAATCTCTTTCCACTGTGTGAACGCAAGCCAGGGCTCCTTCGCGTCCAACTGAAGCAGGTTGCCCAAGAACGGGAGCCCGGGCGGGCCAGGAGGGAGAGCCTGAGCCCTGTCTCGATTTTTGCGGCCGAGCAACGCTCGAACCGCAAGCGCGAAAACAACGCCCGTCGCGAGCGCAAGTGAGGTCGTGCTGGCAGTCATTGTGGGTGGTAGAATAGCCTAGAGAGATAAGCGAGAACCCAGGGAACCTGGATGACTTCCTAGCACTTATGTAGTGAGTAGAAGTAGCATGAAGTAGCGATCGCCGGGGGCCCGTTCTCATGCCGCCGGAAGATTATCGTCTCACAGGTTCAGAATAGGAGACAAAGGAAAGAGACCGGTTTAGGCATACTGAACGAACTGTTCGAAGCTCACCAAAGTTAGGTCAAAGAAAAGAGACTCACGGATGACCTCGGCGGTCCTCGTATGTGTTTCGCCGACTGTCCAAAAGAAAGGCACCCGTAGAGAGAAGATAGAAACGGCGACCTGACCTGATCATAGCTTCCAGAGATGGGTGATTTTACGAAGCCTGGGCCCGACGAAATTTTCCACGCAATGTCCTGTACTTGGACCAGTGCCTTCTGAGGTGCGTTGTGCGAGCGAAAGCATTGGCGCTCCTAGGGATCAGCAGTTTTTCCTTATGAGTATGAGGTGTCAGAAAATGGCTAGATGAAGCGCAAAGTAAATCAGGATCATCGCAGATACCGCGTGGGCCCAGAGCCTGATCTCGCCAACTGCCGGATAGGCGCATAAGATTAACGGCCAGGATCACCGGGATAGTGAGACAACAAGTTGGCGGTTAAGAACTTAAATATAGAATAGGACGACATGCGTCTACCCACTCAGATGACCACATCAGCCCCGCTCTCTACGGACCCGCAATCCAGCGAAGAGCTTTTCGATACTTCTGTGAATGCAGATTGTCCACTGTCTGCACTCCCATTGAGTACTCGCTAGTTGTCCCACAAAAAGCTGTGAGACGTACCTGGGTAAAAGCCCGCCAATTGGATTGCAGCGTCGAGAAAGAAGTTTGGGTAAGACTGATCCTGCGAAAGCGGCGAACTTCTCGCCGAGGGAGTATACCCATCCTTTTTCTATCCGAAAGAGGATCTGATTCGTTTTCCGGGTCAGAATAGGGAACGTTCTTGCCACAACAAAACACAACGAAAACGACGTAATCGCAATGGTAATTTGAAGCGAGAATAATACAGAGAAGATATCACTGAAGAGATACGGAGATATCATTAACGCCGCTTCCGCTTGAGAGAATTCGCCTGAGAGGCGCTGCAGAGAGATGTAGCCTCCAAGTCCCGGTGCTCGTCCGAATCAAGTTCTATACCAAGGTCTTCGCGGAGATCAAGCGCGTCCTGAGGAGGGAGAGCCTCTGTCGCCAAGCCCCAGAACCTGTAGAGCCCGAGCGCATTTAGCCATAATACAGTCGTTTATTCACCAAGGACCAAGAAGCGGGCGCATATAGTCGACGCAGAGACGTGATGAGAGCGACAAACGAGAGCGAGGAACTGACGAGTTGAACACCTTGCGCCTGCGCACCCACTCGGCTCGCCACTTGACCCAGTCGGTGTCTAGCTGCGCGACCTCCTCTTCGGAGATGGGAGGCGCCCCGGAGCGTAGAGGCTCGAGGTGCTTCGTTGCCTCCGATATCTGCGCGAGAGTCGTATATAGAAGATCCAGAGATAAGAGAACAACGAGAGAGCAAACCGCTTGGTCTATCTTGAGCTGCTGGCCCGCGATCTCCTCGTCGGTTAGACTCGTGCGTAGCTTCGCCAGCTCTGCGCCAGGTGAGTTCATCACTGTCAGACAACGCGCATTGACGCGATCAAACCTGAGAGCGTAGCCTTGACCTCCGCGTTGAGTGCGTCGTTCTTTTCGTTGAGCGCTTTACATTCGTCTTCCATTGCGGTAAGTCGTTCAGGAGGAAAGCCTTCAATCGAGGACTGGTTCGCAACGAAGAAGCTCGTCTTGGCTGAATCATGATAAATATGTGTTTCGATTTATTCAAATCCAATGGGCGCACCATAAAGCTTCTGTACAATATCTCCTTTCTCCGCAAGCGCGACCAGTATCTTCTGCACTGTAGCTTTCGGAACCGCGCCTTTGAGGTTAGCAGCCACATCAACGGCACCAAACGGTCTGTTCATCTGACCCAATAAACATGTGAGGACCATCTGGGGGAAGGGACATAGAGCGCATATAGTCACCCGTTTCATGTATTGGAGCACGGCATCCTCCGCTACAAAAGAGATCCATGGGAAGTGCCTACGGCGTCATCGGTGGAGAGAGCGGGGCATGCGTTACCTTCCTTTCCTTTGAGCACTTTGACTTCTGTCTTTGCTTTCGTCGCCATCGTGGTAAGAATCAGTATCAAGGGTGTCAGCAGTTGCAGGTGAATGTCGTGAACAAAAGCCAACAGCGAGAGAAGCTTGGAAGCAAGCCATGGATTCGGATTCCGGAGTTCTTAAGGTCACGTGCTGCCAAAATCTCGGGCCGGGTAAGATCCTTACGCCTCCGCCCGGCACTAGAGCCGCACCTGGTTGCTCTGGTCAGCAAAGAGCGTACTTACGGCAAAGCACATGCCCCTCCTCGCTCCTTCTCCTTTATCTTCTATTCTCGTTCTCGTTCGATGACCTCTGCATCTGCCTCATCCTCCACCCAGCAGCCAGATAAGCACAAGCCCAAATTCGACTATGCAATCGTACGCTCGGGCGTCGCAGGCGGTATCGGCGCATGCCTCGTACGTCTCTGGCTTGTCTATCTTCGCACATGAGCAGGTGGCTAATGCCTTGACAACAACACCAGGCTAAGACGGCCGTCGCACCTCTCGACAGAGTCAAGATCCTCTTCCAGGCGTCCAACCCGGACTTTCAAAAGTATGCAGGTGCGTATCGCGACTCCAACAACCTTGCACACCGTGGTCTAACGAAGGTAATGTTGTTCAGGCACATGGAGCGGAGCGTTCAAAGCCATACGCACGATATACACTACAGGAGGCACGAGAGAGCTGTTCCAAGGCCACTCGGCGACCCTCCTGCGTATCTACCCATACGCTGCCATAAAGTTTATGGCATACGACGAATGGCGGGAGGTGCGTTCTGGTTGTATTTGTTTCGGGACCGAGATCAACAGTGATTGACGCGCTGCTATCAATGTAGCTTCTTATGCCCACTCAAGAGAGCGAAACGAATGCGCGGAGGTTCACAGCCGGTGCATTGGCAGGTGCGTTCCGCTTTCTGTACTTCGTCAAAACAGGTATGCTGATGCGGTGCAGGCCTAACCTCCGTAACATTCACCTACCCTCTCGAGCTTATCCGCGTGCGTATGGCTTTTCAGAGTCAGAGCGGTGGAGCCCGACCCTCCTTCATGAGCGCCATGAGGGTCATATACAACGAAACCGCCGTCACCCGACCGTCATCGTCATCCCCATCCTCAGCACCAATATCGCAAGCACCCTCCTCAGCATCATCGCCCTCGCCCTCACTTTCAAACCCCCCACTATCCCAAACACCCATCACACAAAAACAGCCCCTCTTCACGCGCTTCCCCATCCTCAAGTTCTACCGCGGCTTCTCCGTAACCATGCTCGGCATAATCCCCTACGCCGGCACCGGCTTCCTCTTCTGGGACGCCCTCCGCGCGCACTTCTACCCCGTGTCCGCCGGCCGCAAGCCCTCCACGACCGCGAACCTCGTCATCGGCGCCGTGTCCGGCGCGCTCTCCCAGACCGCCTCGTACCCGTTCGAGATCGTCCGGCGGCGCATGCAGGTCGGCGGGCTGACGAGGCCGGATCGGTGGCTCAGGTGGAGCGAGACGGTGAAGGCGATATATGCGCACCAGGGCTGGAGGGGGTTCTTTGTTGGACTGAGTATTGGGTATTTGAAGATTGTGCCGATGACTGCCATTAGCTTTGCATCATGGCAGGGGCTGAAGAAGGCAATGGAGCTGTAGAAGGGGGATGCATAGAGATGCCTTCCTTGCAGCGACGGTGGTAGGTGCTGGGCAATGGTCAGTATCCTATCACGTCTCGTTGGACAACTACTATCGTAGACTTCAATCCACGCATCTTTAGAACGCATATCACCCTGTTCAAGGTACACACTAAGTATATTCTGCGGGCCACCAATGGCCTGCGCAAAGTCTCGCACACAGATGCATCCTATAGCTAGCTACCTAGAGATACAACAGCAATGCCAATACACAAAAACACCACAATGTCAACAAACGCGATGCTCACAGATTCCTTTAAACGAAGCCTTACGACGCGGGCGTCTGCACAATACCCCCACGCCCCCTGAACCCTCCCCTTGGTCCACCCCGTCCACCCCTCGGCCCATGCCCACCACGCGGCACATATCCACCTCGGTGAGGAACATGCGCATGCGGGTGTTGATGCGGTGGTCCACCGCGAGGCGGGAACCCGCCACGACCACGACCACCGCGCTCGCTCGGCGCAGGATGGACCTGCCCTTGATCTTGCGCGGCAGCGGCTGTAGCGGGAGGGGCGGCGACATGCTGCACATTCGGCGGAGCATGTACGGGCCCGTGGCCATTCAGCCGGGGCCCGGAGCCACCTCCGCCGCGCCCGCCGCCACCGCGATGCGGGTTCGTCATAATCTGCATAGGGAGGTTTTGCCTACCAAAACAACGATTAGATTTTATAGTAAATCAATGACAAGCAGACTGAAAACACTGACGGTTGCGCCGACCTGAACCCCGCAACAGCCTGCTGCCCCTGCGGCGGCCTCACCGCGGGATACGGCCCCGCCCTCGGCTGGAACGCCTGCGTCGGCCTCGGCGGCGGCTTCGAGCCCGGCGCAGTCGACGCAATAAACTGGGGCTGCGTCAGATTCAAACAGCTCGCAAACTCGACCGTGCTGCCCCTGTACGACGAGCACCGGTCGCCGAGCGTCGTCCCCGCCATGAACGCAACGTCCCACAGCACGTCCATCGATTTCGAGTTGAGTCCGATGACGACGCCTTTCACGGCCATGGGCACGGAGCCCGAGTCCTGCACCATCGTGACGCGGTCGCCGAGCACGAAGCGCTGGTTCTGCAGCCGGTAGACGGCGTGCTGGGGCTTGAGCACAGCGTGCCGCGGGATGCCTTTGACGATGGCTTTCTTGTATGCGGTCGATTGTGCAGTTTTCGCGACGTCGTTGGCGAGCTCCTCGAGCTGGCCGACGGTCGCCTGTGCATCGGAAAGTGCCATCAGCAATGAGATTGACAAAGAACATCGAGGGTGTGCAACGCACCTTGTCGAGCTGATCAGAGAACAGTGAGACAGGCTCAAAGTCCTTGACGCCCTTCTCCTTCAACCACACCTTCACCTCTTTCAACTGAGCATGCGAATTCTCAGGCCATATATCCTCCACCCGCGTCATAGCTGCACAAAATCCGCACCCTTAGCTTCCATCATTACATACAAAGAAGCAAGACACACCGTCCCCATTCTGATCAAGACACCTGAACACCTCCGGGAACTTCGCCTGCATCCCTGCATAAGCACACGCAGGGGTCAAGACAAAACAGACACACCTTATACTCCCTAATCAGATCCACAGCCCGATCACTAAACTCCCACTGCCTGCCCTCCTTGCGACTCCAATTAATCACCTTGAGCGCCTTCGCCTCGAACTTGAGACTCAGCCCGATATTCGCCTTGCCACCCCCGGCGCCGGGCTCGAGCACCATGAAGCTCGACGTGATGCGCGACAGCGCACGTCCGGACATGCCGAGCATCGACGCGGCCTTGTGCGCTAAAAAGTACTCGTGCGAGACGCGGTTACGCACAACCTCACGGAAGCGCTCGGATTCATCCTTGGACGCCGGTATAAACTGTGTCCATCCATGAACCGCATTAACATAGTGCCCTAGTGATAGGAGAGGGAGTCAAAGCAACGCACGGCAAGTACAATCGAGAGCGTGGTCTCCTCCGTCTTGGATACGCGCGCGGCGGTGCCGTACGCGTGCTCGCCGAGGAAAAAGATGTTCGAGCCCTCGGGGAACTCGTCCGCGAGCGCGGGCGCCTCCTTCTCCATAAACCGCGGGTCCTCGCACGCGACCTCGGAGAGGACCATCTGCGCCGCCTGCTCCATCTCCTTCTCCGGCCCTTCGTAGTCCTTCACGAACGCGCCGCTCTCCAGACGCTTCAGACCTGAGCGGATTAAAGAGGTACGCCGCCGTCAGCGAGCGAAGGAGAACGCGAGAGGAAACAACACACCCTTGAGCGGCCTCACATGCACAAGCACATCCACATCCCCCGTAATAACCCCACACTTCTTCGAATAAAAACTCTCAATCCGCTCCGCCTTCCCCTTCCAATGGCTCAGCGCCTGCGGCGCATGCGGCGTGCTCACCACTCTCTCCGGCGCCCCCGGCGCCACCCGCATCACCTCATACTTGAACAGCGAATCCGACACCGCAACCACCGTCCCCTCCTGCAAAAACGGCCACCCCACAAACGTCCGCCGGCCCACCATCTCCCGCGCCACGTCCTCCGTCTTGCGCCCCTCGTGCGGATTGCGCACGTGCACGACCATGCTCCGGTTGCGCGACTCGGATCCGTGCACGTTCACGCCGTGGAACCCGAGCGTCGCCGCGTGCGGGAGCGTCTGCAGCGACGGAAAGCCCGCGAGCGCGTCTGCGCCCAGCAGCACGCCGTCGCACAGCCCGGGCACGAGGTGCAGCCCGTCGAGCGTGGGCAGGTCGAACGGCGCCGTGACGCACGTGCAGCGGTAGATGGGCGGGAAGAAGTGCGGCAGCGAGGACGGGTACGTGTGCGTCGCGTCCGGGTCGTATCTGAAGCTCGTGCTCGTGCCGAAGCCGTTGCGCACGCGCTCTTCTTTGGTGAGGCGATGTTCGCGCGCTGCATGTGTGCGTCAGATAAACTAGCGTGTGGTGAGAGAGAAAGGACTTACACGTCATCGCCTTCAGCAGCCTCTTCTCGTCAATAAACGGAATCTTCACAATCGCCTCCCACTCGGCCTTCTTCCCGTTCAAATCCTGCTCAAAGTCCGTCGGATAAAAGTCCAAGATCGGACTGTTCGGGTCCGTCATCAAGTCCTATCCACCAGTTCAGCAAGCCAATCCCGCAGCAACCACAAAACCCGCGGCCATGAGGACACACAACACACCTGGAACGCCTGCGGAATCACCTCCCTGCTCGCCGCCGGCATCACACCCATAAGCTGCTCATACGGTCGGAACGGCGTCCCGAGCTCAAAGTCGAACGTCATGTTCGCCAGCCCCTGCAAATCTACAGCCATTCTTCCGTGAGCACACCCGAAATCCAAGCACACACAAGAAACACGAACCCGAAATCCGCGGCGCGTAGTGGTAGTTGTAGAACCATCCCCACGATGCGACACCGCTGTAGTAGTAATACATCACCCACTGCAGGCCCTCGATATAGCGGTACACGAGCGCGCCCATCTCCTCCGGATTGTCGTACGATATCTCCAACTTGCCCTGCAGATGCGATTTTTGGCAAAATTCAGCGCCGCTGGCGTGTGTATAGAGGAATGAAACGCACCTTATAATACCCCCTCTTCCACTCATCCATCTTCTCCCGCACGCGCTTCTCCTCCCTCGCGTCGAACCCGCCTTCATCGTCCTCGGGATCAATCACCTCCGCCTTCATGTACTTCCTGAGCACACGGTCCACCGCCGCCCTGCTCTCCTCGTCCTCCGACTCTTCATCCTCCTCAACATCTTCCCACTCCTCCTCGTTCCCGTTCCCATTGCCATTCCCAAACGTCTCATCATCCCCGCCCCTACCCCTCGGCTTCTCCTCAACAAGGCCCCCATTCGCATCCACCCCATTCCCATTCCCATTCCCATTCGGCGGCGCACCCGCGACCGCCCCCGGCAACCGCCACACAACCACGCTCCTCTCCCCACTCACATCCATCTCGTCGAGCGACACCGGCAAATGCAGCTCCTCCGCAAGCGTCGCGATAAACGCCCTATCCCGCGCCGCAAACTCGTTCGGCATCTCGAGCCGCGTCTCGCGCCTCGCCGCCGGCGTCGCGCGCGCATCGAGCACGAAGCGCCGCACAGCGTCAAACACCGTGCGTTGCGCGGGCGTCAACACTACACCGCACGCGGTCAGCATAACCCCAGATGAGCGAACGCATCAAAAGGACTGGGAGGGGAACGCACCAAGCTGACTCCGCTTCCGCGCCGCCTCCATCTGCTGCTTCCCGCTCCCGCCCCCGCCCCCGCGCCCATGTCCGTGGTGCGCCTGCTTCCCCTTGAACCAGCCCGCATCCGCATACTCGCGCTCAAACACCTCGCGCTCCCATATCCGCATCTCGTCCATCACAACCTGCAACCTGCGCATCTCGATCCGCCCGCCCTCGTTCACGTACCCGTCTGTTCCCTCCGCATCAGCACTAGCACCCCACAACAATACAAGACAGGTAGGGAAGAAAGACGCGACGCACCGAGGGAAGGCAACACCTTCTTGTACACCTCAAACAGACGCTCGAGCCCGTTCTCGTGGATATGCAGATCCGGGAGGTTGGGCAGGAAATCGTTCCCGACGAACGCAGCGAGAAGGATGAAGTCGTCGATGATGCGCTCGAGCGCGTACTCGAACGGCAGCACGGGCGCGATGTCGTTGAACTCGAGGTCGAGGTACTCGCGCATGAGCGAGAGGTGCAGGAGGTAGAAGTTGAGCGACTCGAGGCTGATTGCACATAAAATGCGCGGCGCGTTGGTTAGAATCTACCAGTGTGAAGAGATACGGTGGAAGGAGGACGCACTTTGTGTTCTTCTTCCGACTCGCCGGCCCAAACTTGACCTCCTCTCTCAAAAGACAGAAATGCGGATCGTGGCTCAGCAGGCTCAGCATGATCAAGTCCGCGTCCAGCCCGTACATGCAGTGGCGCACGTTGGGATCGTACCCGGGCTGCGCGCGCGAGAGGCGAATGTACTCCATGATCTTATGCTCGCCCTCGCCGGGGACCTCGTGCCCCGACAGCACGACCTGCACGTCGCGCCAGTCCGAGTCCTCGGTGATCTTCTTGTTCACGAAGTAGCGCAGCTGGTCCGAGAGTCTCGTCATGAAGGGCGTGCCTGTTGATTTTTCCATCCATATATCAGCATTTACCCCAGCCAAAGAGATAAGATGGGCGACGCACCAGGCGTGATGCAGTTACTATCAAACGCCTTCTCCTCGGGCAGCTTCTCGCCCGCGCGCTCCGCCTTCTCGCGGACCTCGCGCGCCTCTTTTGCAGTGCGGAAGCGACGCGAGCGTTGTTGATTCATCTTGGCGCGGGGGGCGACACCGTCGATGGCCATGAAGAAGAGCTTCTTGGGCTTGATCTTGCCGAAGAGCATGTCGACGTAGGCGAAGATGGCGGTGAAGATCTGTTCTTCGGACATGCGGAAGTGGGCGTCGTCGTCATTAGGATGGGAGCCTGTGCGGAGGTGAGTATGGGGTGAGTAAGCGGATAAGGGAGGGGACGGACAGTTGTGTATTATTCCATTAAAGTCGAGATATAGGTTGTCTACAGGAAAGTGAGCAGCAGGGGGCAGGGGTTAAGGGGAGGGTGCTGACCAAATTCAGGGATCTTGTTCTCTTGGATTAGCTGTGAGGTGAGGGGGTAACGTTCTCTGAAATTTGTGTATCAGTGGCTTGCTCTTTTGAGTAAAGAGAAGGAACGTACGAGATATAACGGAAGAACTGGAATGCGGGGTGATTCGTAAGTGCCTCATGGGCAGTCCAAGCAATCGTGGCGTACCTTCGGAATACCTGCAAGTAGATCAGCAGCTAACCAGAGCGAATATAACAAGCAACTCACCCATGATGAACTAAAGTAGACAACCAGAAAACGACAAAACGAGCGAATGGTAAGGGAGGGGAGGGAAGAGCAGAGACGACAACAGACTGGCGCGTTGAGATAGAGAACCACCCTCGCCGGCTTTCTTCCTTTCCCGGCCATCTCCGCCCCAGCATCCGAGTGCCGACAGCGTGCCGAACGCGATCGGAGCTTCTGCGGCACTCGATCCCTGTCACTGACGATGTTCTCGATAGCCCGACGACGCCTTCCGTGTCTCCGGCGAGGCATCGCACGCCATTTCTCTGCTAAGACTACTGCAACGCCGAACCCGCTGCCCGCGTCTTTCCTGCGCGGCGGCACCTCCAAGGGCATCTACATCAACGCCGACCTCCTCCCCTCCTCGCAGGACGAATGGACACCCATCCTGTGCGGCCTCATGGGCTCTCCTGACAGCTACGGCCGCCAGCTGAACGGCATGGGCGGCGGCGTCTCCAGTCTCTCCAAGGTCTGCGTCGTCGGCCCGCCTCGTGCGCCTGAGGCAGTCGCGCAAGGCGCGGATGTGGAGTACACATTCGTGCAGGTGGGCATCGACACGCCCAAGCTCGATTTCTCGGGAAACTGCGGCAATCTTACAAGCATGGTGGGCGTGTTTGCGGTGGACGAGGGGATATGTCGCTCTGTGCGACTCAGCACGACCGCTGGTGATACTCTGGGTAGTAAGAGCGCAGATGCGACGCGCACGGGCACGGTCCGTCTATTCAACACCAACACGCGCAAGCTCATCGACACCACCTTCCCCGTCTCTGTCTCCTCTACTGCACCACCAGTGCCCCTGCTCGACCTCCCACAAACCCGCATCGCAGGCGTCGACGCCCTATCCTCCGCCATCGCTCTCGACTTCCTTAACCCCGCGGGCACACGTACAGGCGCGCTCCTCCCTACCGGAAACCCCACCGACACCCTCACCGTCCCCTCCCTCCCACACCCCATACGCGCATCCCTCATAGACGCAACAAACCCCACAATATTCGTCCCCCTCTCCGACCTCTCGTCTCAACTCCCCAACACACCCACCACCACCCTCGACCTCAGCGCACCCCCCGTCCGCAACATCGTCGAACTAATCCGCCAAGCAGGCGCACGCGCCATGCGCCTCGACCCCACCGCCCAAGCCCAACCCAAAATCGCATTCCTCTCCCCCCCTCCAGACCCCTCCTCCGCCGACCTGCGCATCGACGCGTTCTCGATGGGCGTCCCGCACAAGGCCGTGCCCGGCACAGTCGCGCTCTGCGCGGGCGTCGCTGCGTCTGTCGAGGGCACCGTCCCATGGGAGATCGTCAGTGCCGCTCAGACGTCAATTTCGTCTCGCGCAGACTGGAAGGAGGAAGAAGGGACGGAAACGCGCGTGAGGCTCAGGCATCCCAGCGGGGACACCGAGGTCGGCGCTGTGATCTCGCCCGAGCGCGAGGTGCAGAGCGCGAGACTGTTCAGGACGGGGCGGAGGCTTATGAAGGGCGCCGTGTGGTGGTAAGCGTCTTGCAAGTAGGTACAGTCTCGTTCGACTCCGTGTACTATTTCCATTTTTTTTTTCACGGATTCCATGTTATGTACTATACCAGCCCATGCACAGAGGATTCTGCTAAAAGCTCATGTCCATATCGTACATGCGGGCTATCTCAGTTCCAGACGCTCGGCGCATCTACCCGCAGCCCAACTTCCCCTCATAATCCCTAACAATCTCCTCAAACGCCACACCATTCCTCAACATCCCCAAGTTTTGAGAAGTCATTGAGCTATGAGTACATAATAGACTCATAAATGAGCGAGCATCAAAAAGGTTTGCAAGGGTGGCGCAGTGGTAGCAACCCTAACCCTCCGATAGATCCTTGGCAGAGTAAATGAAAGGCAGAGAAAATATGAAGGTACGCAAGTGGCACGCGTAACCTGGAGATCTTCGACTTCGAGAACGTCTATAACTGCTATAAAAAGTAAGCGCTGTGAAAGTCAGAAAGTAGGAAAAGCTCTGGGACACACCGTCCTTCCACATGTTTTCGAGTCTGACATACGGATTATAGCTGGCAGCTGTGGCACAAAGCATCCACCTTGACATTGGCGTTGATCTTCCGGGACTTATTCCCATTGCACGGAACAGCTCTCGCTGCCTCGTTCATCTGCCTCCCACACACAACCGGGTGCCTCTGAAAAACATGGCCGCACATAGCAGAGTAGAAATGAATATGTGCCGCAGTTGCAGCCAACTCCGCTGTGAGCCGGGATTCCCGACGTGTCCGTGGTGCAATACACAGAGGCAATGAAATCCGTGGGCTGGAGTGTGGTAGTTGGCATGTTGGCGGGTTGATGGTGGGTGATGTTGATTGCTTCAATTTTGGGATAGCCCAAAGTCTATAGTGCTTACTTTAGGAGGTCGTGTTCCCGCATGCCAGACGCCAATTCAGAGTCACCGGGACTCGCAACTGGATTCTCATGCAAAGAGGGAGATCCGCTAGGCCCCAAGATCCGGCTTCTTAGTCGTTTCAAATTCTAGGGTTCAGGTAAAGGTAAACGGGATCCCCTGAGTTGCTACATTTTGCAGTAATTGACATGCTAGAACTGTCGTGAGCGCCAATTATCAAGGCCTAAATATGGTTGGCGCTGGACTGCGCTTCAATTTTACCTTCACAATTAGTGATAAGTCTATGTAAGAAACATGTCCCAAGGATTCTTGGGCTACCGACACCCCAATATGGACCAAATTACTCGTATCTTCAATATTTACTTTGACAGCAAGCTGAGGGTTAGGGTTAGGACGGGTTGTCCTAGATCTAGCTCTATCTAGCTCATGAGCCGGAGCGTAGAGGAGTGTCTAGTATTCCCCTATCATAAAGCCCTGATTCTAACCCGTTTATCACGAGATATAAGTGAGCAAGAGTACGTCGACACCCTCTTTCCAACATTCCAACATTCACTCGAGGACGTCCATAGCAAGAATACGTCGTGTATCAAGATCAACCTATTCACCTTCCGTAAGTATACTTACTGTACGCGAACATCTTATCCTCTCTGCATAATGATGATTCTCACTGAACATCCGCTGCGAATGTAGCACCATCTGACTTTTATTCTGATGGCGGGTAGCGTTAGCGCGACTGACGTCAATAACCACGAACCTGAGCTCCCGGACTTCGGGCTACTGGTCCTCCCACACCAATCCTATCACTCCATCCTCCCTTGTCCACCGCCACTTCCCATTTTGACCGGAGACGAGCTCGCCAATCACCCTTGGGACGAAGACGAGATGACCCAACACGGGCTCACCATCATTCCGGGAAAATATGGAACATATACATACCAAGCGCATATATTCGACATCCGCCTACGCCGCTGGTACACGGTCATCTCACCCTCGTACCCGGACAAGACCAGCGACGGGAGGCATGCTGAAGAACTTGACAGTATCTGCGAGCACACGTACTGGGTGGATGTGCTGCAGCGCACCGGCCACCGAGCCCGCGATGACTTCAACATAGCGGTGGTCAAACACACTTGCGCTTCTGGCGGCTATGGCGCACCGGAAGCCGGGGAGTGTATTTGCGCCAAATCCCCCATCACATACATGGGATCACCAGACGCAATAGGCTGCCCAATTTATGGGCTTCGATCTCGATCCGCGATACCCGTCTGCGCTAACTCCAAGTCGAACTCAAGCCCGAGCTCCATACCGGACCTCCAGTTCATCGGGATCGACGACATCACCAACAGGCGATACTTGGCTCAAGCATCCGAGCTGTGCACTTGGCCTTCCTCTCTGAACAGGTCCGCGTGTCCAAGACTCGAGTCGGAAGATGTAGACCTCGTATTCAAGCAAATCATGCTCACCCCGCTCGAGGCCGATTGGCTCTACCGCGAGATGTCACTCCTGCGCCACCTATATCTCGCTTCCCACTCCGTCTCGCCGTTGGAGAAGCGGCGTACGCACTATCCCTTCCTGCCTCTCATAGCATGCGTCGTCGACTCGCAGGACCTCGTGCGCGGCTTCCTCACTCCATACGGCGGCAAGCCTCTCCACGACCTCCCCAAGAACTCGATCAAGGCCGCGTTTTTCGTGAGCGTTCTCCGTGGGGTCCTCACACTGCATCAGATCCCAGACCGAATGATACGCAAGATGTACCGAGCGTCGATGCCCGACGACTTTCCAGAGACGACCAAAGGCGAGCCAGACATGGTCCAACATGGCGACATCTGCGCCCGCAATGTCCTCTTCGACGCGTCCACGGGCGACGTGTGGCTCATCGATGCGGGGAATATGGGGATAGACTACCCTGGTGACCGTTTGGCACTGGCGGAGATGATTCGGACGCTAAGGGAGGCGCCTGGGGCGAGCTCTGAACAAGAGGGGCAGCTTATGGATGAGATGGCGGAAATGTTGAGGGGTGGAGTGTCGTTCGAGGAGATTGTGAGGGTGTTTGAGGGGAATTTGAGTAGTGGATAGACGCAGCGAGTCGCACTGTGTGACCACGTAAAACATTTCTGAGCTTGCAAGTAGTATGACTTTACCCATCTCGTTTCCGCTTTCGTGTTTCGGTGGTGCCAAGGCTCCAAGCGCAGCGTATCGGCTCTAGAACGGCATCCAAACGTACGCCCGCGAAGCGGTTGAATGGTTAACCTATTCCACTAGCAGCTGGCAAATATACAGTAGGTAGAAGCAATGCAATTTCGAGTGACGCTGACCACGAGCGTAGTTCCTTAGACCGGATCCACCCTGCTTGTATTCATCCTTGCTATGGTCCTTCAAAGCTTCACCCATGCGTCCAAAAGGCCGCATAAGGAGAGATTAATAGGATTGTGGGAGCTGGTCGCCTCCCCGCTTTCAACGATACGTCGACATTATTACCTTACCTAGAAGCTGTTTTTTGGGAGACGCTGCAATGCCACACTACAGGAGGATGGAAATAAGAGAACAGATCTAGACGCTCGATCGCAATCCTGAAAATGGTGGTCTGGTCATACAGCATCAAACGTTCCAAGAAACGTTCTCCACGTTCGTGAATATGATATCAGGAACGTACTGTATGGTAAATTAGCATCTCAATCATCCTGAGCGTCTTTCACCAATTGTTCCAGCTTTGATCGACTGAACCGAGGAACGACACGCAGCGGAACTGGCTCGGGTTTGTGAGAAACTGAAGTATATAAGTATGGATCCCCAAGACGCTGTGGTACTAGCGAGTGGTCTAATGTACCTGAAGTATATAAGTATGGATCTAGGGAGAGGACGTGAGTATGAATCCCTAGTCCTGAGGCGATATGAGCTTACCCCCAAGACGCTGTGGTACTAGCGAGTGGGGGCAGCTCGGCGGCGGGCGCTCTCTCTTGATATACCTCGGCATTCATTTCTCCTGCTTCCTGCCTCCGACCTTCTCTTTCTCTCCACCGACGTTGCTTCTCTTCTCCCGTTCCTCGATCCAGTCCCTCCGTCATCTTCTTCCCCCGATCCATTCCCTCGTCCTCGGCCTCTACTCCCGTTCCTCCGATGCGGTGCACTCTCGAATCCTGACAGGGTTTTCTCATTGACGGAATCTAAGCAAGGACGTGTATAACTTTTCAGAATCCGAAAAAGCCCACCTCGTGAGCCCCGTGGTCCACCTCGGAACCGGATCAATCTCCACGCCATTTTTGTCCTTCACCTTCTCAAATGTGTATGTCCCACGCTTCATGGTGCTGCTAACCCGCACCTTCCGTAGATTCTGAGCCCCACATGTTGCTTGATTGGCCAACGCATAGCCGTAATGATTCTCATGAGAAGATTATTTGGTTTTTCTGATGACAGCCTCCATCCCTAAACTGACGTCATAACCTGTTGCGCCTCACCAAGATCAGCCACTGGTAACTCTACAGTAAGGGATCATGTTACTCCAAGGCATTTTGGCGATGCACCCTGCTGTTTGATCTCTGCTACCAAGATGGCCCTGGTCAAAAATGTAACAATACGAGCTCGACATTGTCTGTGCGAAAAGGGACTGCCGCCAGGACCACCATCGACCCTGCTTCTAGCAGGAGACACAGTCGATTCAGAGTACTTGTTATATAGCAAGTTCAATAAGGCGGACGTTACTGAGCGGCAACGGTTGCTTTATACGTATGATGGAGTTAAGCTTCTGCAGAACCAGCATGACTGATTCTCTGGATGCGCTAATTTGTTCCTTCTTGATCCACACCCAGTTCTTTCTTCGGACCGCATGATCATGGTACTCAATACTAGCTTATCAGCCCCACTGGTCATAGTTCCCAAGATATCCACTATCTTTCCCAAGCTGTCAATTTAGACGCGATGTTCCGGAAAGAAAGGCCTTTTATCCATGTACTTAAACTCCCTCGTTGCAGTAAGTCCCGTCCGACGGCGCATTGCGAACTTCACCATGACCATTCATTTCGCAATCCCCGCATTAGCTACAGTCCTAGCAGTCATGCTAGCTGCCACCCTCCGTACTCAGCGAAAGCCTCGAGACAAGGGCTTTCCACCAGGACCTAGGCCTCTCCCACTAGTTGGAAATGCGCATCAAGTTAACTCAAAATATCCATGGCTTACTTTCACCAAGTGGAGAACCATATACGGTGCAGTACCTTGTTCTCGGACCTAACATCTACGCTGCTTATCGACCTACAAGGAGATATTGTTTACTGCAGGATGCTAGGTCAAGATACCATGGTCGTCAACTCGGAGAGAATAGCACAAGAGCTACTAGATAAACGTTCCCGCAACTACTCTGACAGGATAGACATGTCATATTTGATCGAACAGTAAGGTCCTAAATTTTGATTCGAGGGTGTACATAATCTTAAACCACCCAACCAATAGGTATGGTTTTGGCTTCATCACCACCTTCCTACATCACAACAACTCATGGCGGGATCATCGGCGTGTTCTACACCAGACGTTGCGCACGGGAGCTATCTCTGCTTACTGGCCAACGCTGGTCCGTCGTGCATCCACCCTGCTACAAAGCTTGCATACTTCGCGCGAGCCGTGGTGGGAGCACATTGAAATGTTCGTCATTTGGTACTTCTGCTGTGCTTAAAACCTCATCTTACTTTGACCACAACTAGGTACGCAGCCGCCATTGTCCTGGGGACTGTGTATGACCATGAGCTTCCTGTAAAGCCAGAGGACGACCCGACGTACCGTGCTATGGTTGAGGGAACCGATCTGATATTCTTCATTGGTTCCCTAGGAATGACTGCACTCATTAATGCGATCCCACTCGGTAAGCTGTTGTTCGCTTACTTGCGTTCTGTTGAAAGGTTCGGTGCACTGAATGACATATTTTCCATCAGTGAGGTATACGCCGAAATGGTTTGCAGGCGGGCGCTGGGTTAACGCCGCACATTGTCTCCAATCTATGGGTACCATGATCGACACGCCGTATAACATACTGCAGAACAGAATTGTACGCATCATATCTTACGGGTCAGGATACTCTAAGCTGAGTTCCAACATTTGTTTAGGTAGCAGGAGAAGCGGGAGCATGCGTAATGACTGAAGCGTTAGCAATATTCCAAGGCACGACCAAATTGGACGATGCTGAACATGTCATCAAAGACGCTTGTAGTACAGCGTATGCTGGTAAGCGTGCCGTGAAATTGGTGTCGTAGGCCTGAATTGACCTGTTCCGCCGGCAGCTGGAAAAGATACGGTTAGTAAAAGTAACTCATTTTGTCGAGTGATGCTAAAGGATAGCACGGTTCTTAAGACTGGTTCCACCCTGCTTGTATTCATCCTTGCCATGGTCCTCCATCCACACGTCCAAAAGACCGCACAAGAAGAACTTGACATGGTTGTGGGAACCGGCCGCCTCCCTACTTTCAACGATACTCCGGCATTGCCTTACCTTGAAGCTGTGTTACGGGAAACGTTGCGATGGAGGCCTGTTGTACCCATCGGTACGTCTTCAGTACCACAGGCTCTTTTCTGTCTTACTGCTCCTACGCTAACTTGGGATATAGGGGTACCACATACTGCGACGAACGAAGACATCTACGAAGGTTACAGAGTACCTAAGGGTAAGATTCTTGGTACCTTTGCCTCTTAGCTCACCGCTTATGACCACTCGTAGGTACTGCCATAATACCTAACGTGTGGTGAGCCTCATTTTCGAGGCTGAGTAATGGATCATGCTAATTAAACATCATCAGGGCCATATCCCGCGACCCGGAAAAGTATCCCTCTCCAGATGACTTCAAGCCCGAGCGGTTCCTTGACGCTGACGGCAAGCTCACTAACGATACGTGCGAGTTTGTGTTTGGCTTTGGACGCCGGATCTGCCCCGGGAGACACTTTGCGCACGCGGCGGTGTGGATTGCCATGGCACAGATCCTTGCCACATTTACGATAGAAAAGGCAAAAGATTCTTCAGGACACCCAGTTGAACCGGCTCCCGAATGGGGAACAGGCATAACGACGTGAGTCGCAAGGTCACGCCTGGATTGCGAAAATTGTCTTGACATCCGGGTCTTTCTAACAGGTATCCTAAACCGTTCCCATGCAACTTTGTGCCTAGGCAGACGTAAAGATTGGTACAGTAAAGCATCTGTTATGACACGCTTTTTCTTCTCTTACCTAAAGAGGCAGGACCTCTAACTTGTACGATATATCGGGAAACTGGTCTGTGCGCATTCGTATCTTTGTATATAAGGCTCGCTCTGCTCGCCCATGTAACATAAGCTAGTCCTACCTTAGGAATACTAGTCAATCTGATACCACTCTCGATACAACCTAGTACACGATCTGAGACAACCACTAAGACTAAGAACCTCATCGTCGCTGACGACTTATTAAGAACCCTTCGACATCGTCCTCTTCGACGACCACGAACCTTTGACGTCGTCAACTACGGTGACGACTAATATTCCACATAAGGTCAAGACGCAGTCTTAACAAAAGGACTAGCTTCTCTTAGCTACTACTACGTACGCTACCACAACATTGAGAACAATCAGGAAAACGAACAGGGCTCTGAGCAACTAGCTCAACAACAGTGGCTAACAAACGAACTTGAAAGGTTAAGCCACTCAGAACCTTCCCAAAGCGGAACAACCGTCCCAGGACCACAGACTCCCCGATCTAGAAACTCGAGAACAGCATCTCGACAAGTCACCAGACCACAATCACCAGACGTAGTAAATTTTGAAACACCCAGACAAGCATCGGAAGAACTAAGTTCAGGCGAAGAAGAAACCACATCGGAAGAATCAGAAGAAGAAACCTCCGAAGAAGAAGACCCCGCAGAAGAATCACTATCGGAAGAAGCATTAATTCCGTTACCTCTATCTAGATCCCCTACACCGCCCCCAACAACTCCTACTCCACCAAGAATTCCCACTCCACCTAGAGTACCAACTCCACCAAGAGTTCCCACTCCACCGAGAACACCAACTCCACCGAGAGTTCCCACTCCACCTAGAGTACCAACACCAACCGTATCCACAATGCCTACTACCCCCGCTCCCAAAGAAATCAAGGTCGGAGAACCAACCCACTTCGACGGAAATAGAAATGATGCAATGAGATGGTTCATGACGTGCACGGCATACTTTACAGTCAATGAGGATATTTACAAAGAGGATATCACCAAGACCATATTCTGTCTCAACCACATGACTAAGGGGACAGCCGCCACATGGTCACAAGCGTACTATACTAGGATAAACAATAAAATCATCGAAAAAGCACGCCTAACCAACGCAAACAAACCGGCGGAAGCCGCTTTAATTCAGCCGTGGGGAACCTATGACGACTTCCAACAAGAATTCTGGCAAGCCTTCACCGCCCACGACACGCAGAACGCAGCCAGGCTTAAGTTGCAAACTCTAAAACAAGCAAACATCCCAAATAAGAACATTGACACGTTCATATCGGAGTTCCAGATGGCGTCAACTGAAAGCGGGATTACAGACGAAAATGCACTCATTGACTGGTTTGCTATGGGACTATTGCCTCCTATTAGCAAAGCCATTCTTAACCGAGAAACACCGCCTGCAACCTTAGCAGGATGGATACAAGCAGCTGCAAAAACTAGCACCAATCAGAGACGTCTCATTTCACTAATCTCGGGATCTACACCAGTCTATGCCCGAAACAATGGATTCGCATTGCAAAGCAACAATAATAATAGGAACAACTCCCACACTAACTATAAACCAACTCGCGATCCCATGGCAATGGACATTGACGCTGTGCGTCTAACTAAAGAACAGGAACAAGAGCATCGCCAAAAAGGGTTATGTTTCAAATGCCACAAACAAGGACACATGCAGAATGATCGGGAATTCCATCCCCGCAATAACAACCAAAACGGGCAAGGAAACCGAAACAACGGAAATAACAACTGGAGAAACCGACAGGTACGAGAAGTACAAACTACGAAGGACACCACCCAAAATAAGAAGGAAGAAGAAGCAACCCCGGGGGACAACCTCACAACCGAAGAATTAATGAAAATTCTCAGGATGAGGACGGGAAAAAGTGACGAAGAAATGATGGATTTTTAAACCGGAGGATAGCAACAACGTCTATACCTCCGGGCCCAAGGATAGCACCCGTAATTTTAGTGAACGAAAATAAATCTGAATTCACTATTCCATTAAACGTGCGAACT